AGGGGTATGAAATAGTTAGTAAGTAGGGGTATGAAATAGTTAGTAAGTAGGGGTATGAAATAGTTAGTAAGTAGGGGTATGAAATAGTAAGTAAGTAGGGGTATGAGAAGGAGTTTAACATTACAGGCTCTTACTGAGCGAGTTCTCTTAAAGATTGTTCTTATTTGTTGCTTACAATTACAAACTTATCCTAACGTGTTTAATGCCCTTTAAAAGGTGCCACCTGTTGTTTGTCTATTTCCTATTGTATAAAGATTTAAGATACATCTTAACTAGTGCAGTACTTGAAGAAATCGCTAAGAACCGAGTTCCGGTTTTAAAGAAAAACCCGAGAAATGAAAACGATCAATAATTTAATAGACGGTGAAAACGTTTTCTCCGGCTTTTTAGGGAGCAAACGCCAAAACGCAAACGCAAAAGCACTAGCGCTGTTGCGTGTTTCGCCTGTTTTCCTGCCAATCGGCTCATTATTTTGTGCAAAAGTGACTTTAAAATGCAAACGCACGCGCACTACCTTCGTGACAGCGTAGTTCTGTTGAAGATGTGGATGGAGATTCACAACGCTGTAGCTGTGTCTTGTTGTGGGTATTGCTCAGTGTCTTGATTTCTTTGTATAACTGGCAAAATGGGAGTACAATTTATTATCTAAAGTAAACGTGAATCGAATTTACATTATTCAGAATCAATAGTGATGTTCGTGAATGATTTTGTTTCAGAAATATTTCCCGCCTTTAAGAGTTTGAAATTTAAAGCCTCAATCAACTCGCCATCTCTGTGTCTTCACGCCAAACGAGTCACGACTGCGCTGGAAAATGCTGCGTTTTCTTTGAACGACGCAAAGGTTTTCATCGAGTATTTAATGAACCTTGGAGAAAGACACAAAGCATGGAAAATTTCGATGCATGTTTTCTGTTCTGCCGATCAAGGTTACTTAGGGGTAAATATTGTTGTATAGAGCTGTATAGTAATGTAAACTGCAGTAGCGAAAAGTATAATGCTATCTAGGGGTAGATATTGTTGTATAGCGCTGTATTGTGATGCAGAGTTCAGAAGAGTGAAGTATGGTGGTATCTAGGGGTACATATTGTTGTATAGCGCTGTATAGTGATGTAAACTGCAGTAGCGAGAAGTATAATGCTATCTAGGGGTAGATATTGTTATGTAGCGCTCTATCGTGATGTAGAGTGCAAAAGAGTGAAGTATAGTGGTATCTAGGGGTGCATATTGTTGTATAGCGCTGTATAGTGATGTAAACTGCAGAAGAGAGAAGTATAGTACTATTTAAGGGTACATGTTGTTTTATAGCGCTCTATTGTGATGTAAATTGTTGAATAGGGAAGTATAGTGCTATTTAGGGGTACTTGTTGCTTTTTATGATCCATCAAATATTTTTGCTCGCGCGCAATTGGTGTAAACGCAGCAAGTGACTTAATATCCCCCAGCTAATACTGGGTGATATCCGAGAATATCACGCAAGCGATATTCCCCAATTTGCAAACCTTACGTCTACCTCGATAAGTCTTCGTTTCAGATTTAATTCAATTCAGTGAGCTGTTCATAAAGATTCTTTCACGAGCGTTGCAAAATAATTGAAGGATAAAAATCACAATAGCCTCTATTTTGCACCAAAATATGTTCGGATATTTGTCCTTGGACATTGTCCTTCGAAGCTCACAGTTTTGGCATCTTGGAATAGATAACGTCCGCGGACAAATATCCACAATTATTTTCGTGCCAAATTGGAGCAATAGTTTATAGAGTACTGTATGCTGAAAAAAAATTCAGTAGAGGGAAGCATAGTACTATTTAGGGGTTCATATTGTTGTGATGCGCTGCACAGTTACTTCATTTTACGGATTTACAGTGCTACTCAGGGGTATAATGTTGTATTGTGCTGTATAATTTTAAAAGTTGCAATAAAGGGATGTATAGTGCTATTTAGGGGAGGAGGAGAGGGGCATATAGGCGTACGTATTCGAGGAGTTTGTTCTACAACGTAAGGAGACATGGAGTCCAATAATCGACGGAACGTGTTTGCTCCTAATGAATCTCTCGGGCTGTTATCGACTACCTCTAAGGAAGCATTACAATAACTTAACCTTTCTTGATTATTGTCTTTCAAAACACTTTTTCAAGGTCCTCTCTGCGTCTACATCCAAGATGACGGCTACCGACTCGGAGAAGTCTGTGGATTGGCCTGCTGCCATCTTGGACTCGCGATGTAGGTGGACCCTGGGCGAGAGTTTGATCCATTCCCAATCAGATGATAGAAGAAGCCTTAATTTGGACATTGAAGGACTCGTTTCCAACAAAATGCATCGATTATGTCGCAGAGACTTGGAGGGAGCTCTTTCGTTTTATAGCTGCTACTGTGATGAGAGGACCGAGGAGAGCAAACACTGGCAAGTGAGACTTAAAATTGAGACCCCGTGTGGACTGGGAATGAGTCGAAAGGAAAACTAAGATTTTACTAGAAATGATGCTAAGAGGACACCATCCTAAAGTGAACAAAATAAGCATAATAACAACTTCTCTGTGGAAGTAAGGAGGTATATGAGTTGTAAGAGACCTGACGTTGCGCGAGGATTGAGACGAATGAAAACTGAAACAGACAAGGAGATAGTCGCGTCTAATGAAGCGCGTAGAAGAATAAAGTTGAGGGCGATGAAAGAAGTGCGTGTAAAAATGGGAATAAAGGAAAAGTACGATGAAAAAGAGGGAAGGAACAAAAGGAAGGAGAAAAAAGAGATGCACAAATGTGAAAAGGTGTAAAAAGGTAAAAAGGGCGCACACAGGTAACAGTATGAACACGTTCGTCGGCATTCAAAATCATGTGACAATATGGAGAACGGTAGGAATTGAAAGAGACACAATCGAAGAGTCGACGAGCGTTTGTTAAGTGGGTGGGGGCTTGAAACATGGAATGTCAGTACACTGTCAGCTGCAAAGATTATCAACTTGGCGCGCGCGGGTCAAAATAAGCATTGAAGTCCCCGTAGGATCTTACACAAAAAAGTAAAAAAAAGTACAATACAAACTGCATTAAATTGTTCAAGGCATTAAGTAAAGTAGGCGCTAAACGGAGACACTAAAATGAACCCATTTATTCCCAAGATTGATCATAACTTAAATTCTCCTCACAAAATTAATGCACCGACAAACATGGTGTCAATAAGAATTAGAGAAAATCTAAACTAGCGGATTATTTTTCACTAGAAACGTTATGTTTCATCGAATTCTCAGAATGAAGCAACAAAGAAACACATTCTTATCAGTTGGGAGAATTTTTCTTCACAACTTGGGAGTTAATGAGTTAATGAATAAAAACTAAGGTAAATGAACAAATAGCTTCAACTTTAAATACAAATAGCATCAAAACAATTCACACCAAATACACTGACATTATAAAAAGAATGTTTAGTGGAAATTGTCCCAGCTTGTTTTTAAAATCCTACGTTACATCATATTCAACCATGTGCAAGGTTAACTATTACATTTTATATCAGCATATACCAATGGTAGTTATGAAAATCTGTCAAAAATTAACATTGATTTGACAAAAATTTCTTTTAAAACAGCTGTGATACAGTATACCTTAAACTTTTGACCACATGACGGGTTCTAATTGCAAAGCGTGCTCTGAATACCTAAGTATAAATTCTTAAATCTAAGAAAGATATCATCAGACATCTCCAAATTATACTGAGGTAAATTTAAAGCCATGAAAAAAATTTGAACAGGAAATTTTCAAAAAAAGGCAAGTTTTATCCTGAAGCCCTGAACCTTTTTAACTACGGCCTAGATTTACATTTATTCATGAACATTTTCACCAAAATAATTCCCATTGAGGACTACATGGCTTACTTCAAGTGTTTCTCTAATTTATTGGCTTAAATATTTTCCTAATGAAAACAACAAATTCCATGTCACCTACATTAAAAGTCACAACAATGGAAACTTCAGTTAAAGTAAACTCTGCTTCGCTATTTCCTTGTTTAGATTACATGGACAATTTGTCTCTGTCGTCGATCTCTAAAACAAACTGATGAGTGTTTGATAAAACGGACTAAAATTGATCAAACTCGTTTGATTGAAAGCAGGCCGTTGTAGCCAGCTCTTTGACTTGTTGTAGGCCTTTTTCCTGAGAAATTTCAATTGTTGTTTCAACATTTGTAAGAGTCATATTAGAAAAGTCAAGTGGGCGGAAAATAATTGTAGGCTGGGCCCACGGGACTAAAGGCCGGCCACACCCCTGAGAGTAGGTCTAATGTCTCTAACATATGGTCAGTAAATTCAACAACATCATCTCTGATGATTACTTCTTCAAATTAAGCTTAGAATGGCAATCTTGGCACTGATGGAATTAGATTGCATTAAAATGGATTGAAAAAAAGTTGAAAATGATAATCTATTTTTCTGTAAAGATAATTGCAAATTGCAACAAAGTAATTTATGACGTAGAAAAACCATTAAGATCAATTCACATATGGCTGCGAATTTTGCAAATCACATTTTTGAAATGAAAATTTCACCACCTTTTGCAAATGACAAACTGTTTCTTTGCTTATCAAAAGCTTAGAGTATCAACGTAATTAAAACCCGCTGGACATGCTCCTGGTTGTGTACAAGAAAAAAACCTTTAAATTATTTTACACATAACTGATTGCAATAAAGGAATGGATCTGAGTGTCATTTTGGCGAAACGAAAACCTCGTAGTCGCCTTCAACAACTTCAGGCATTAAGAACAGAAGCCTTCTTGCATCTTGTTCCCTTCGCTAGCATCAAAATTTGTAAAGGTGAAAAAAATAGCAATTCCACTGAACAAAATATACTGAAATAGTCTGTTTTATTTCTTCACCAAAGTAAAGTCACACATCTCAAGTTCCATTTAATAAAAAAGTGAAAAGCAATGAAAAATAGCCAAAAAGCGCCAAAATAGAGAAGCATTTAAACCTTCCAAGTTCCTGCGTCATTCATTTTGAGATGAAATAAAAAGTTTTCATTTATGTGATTTCATATTCGAATTTTCTCTTTCCTTTGCCATGAAGTCAAGAGTGACGTCATCTCCAATCAGCAAAAAGGGCGCCCAGTGTTTGATGTCGCAGAACTTGTCTGATTCTCTGAGGCTTTTCATGGCCAGGTTCAGTGACTCGCTTGCTGGTTTACCTCCTGCAAGTTGTTGATAAAAGTATTTCATGAACTCAAGAGTAGCCTCGTCATCAATCGCCCACAGGGACACCACAATAGACCGAGCACCAGCCCCCATAAAAGCGCGCGCAATGCCAACCACACCTTCAGCCTTGATCTCGCCCCGGCCGCTGTGGCAGCAACTAAGCACGACAAGTTTGGCCCGAAGTTGAGCATTCAACACATCTCCAATTGTTAAAATGTAATCCTCCTCCGTTGGCACGGTAGATATTCGGTCTGGGTCAGGTGTAAGAGCAATTTCGCCAGTTTCCATACATCCGTGTGCCGCAAAGTGAACTAGGGAAACGGAACTGAGTCTTTTCAACACCTCACGTTTCGTGGCCTGACTGCCAGTGATTGGGGCGATATTCAGAATTTTTCCGATCATTTCTACTTCTTTTTTAGCATACTGAAGCTGCTCGAAGACTTTCTTTCCCTCGCTGTTAGTAACCTCGGATACCAACGGATCTCCTACAAGTAACGCACCACTGCTTTTGTGATAATCATCTGGGCAATCGGCAATGAGTCTAAGACTTGCTAACGATGGAGCGACTCGGATTGTGAACGATTCACACAGGTATTTAGAATTACCATCCTTCAATGCAGCGTAAGGAGCGATCCACAGTGGTCCATCAGGAATAATGAGTAGCTCATCCCCTTCAATCAAATCAGCCACCGGCTTCATAACGATATCATACAAAGTGCTCAAGCATCCGTCTTGTTGGATGTGAGGTTGAGGGTTGGCTTCTTTAGTTTTCTCATCCACTTTTGAACGGCCCTCCCTCAAAGCATCTAAAGATCGATTTTCGCATCTCACATTAGAACGAACATCAAGTTGTGTATAGACACCGAGCATGAACGACTCAAAGGACAGGCTAGATCCACTATTCTCTGAAACAAAACCTTTGAGTTTACTTTGTCTTAACTGAACTTGTTTTCCTTCGGACACAACCCAAAGATGGACGTTAGCTTCGTCCACTGCCTGAAAGACAGTGTTTGATGGAACGTTTTTTAAAACTGCGCAATCTTCATCTTCTCCCTTGTGGTGACTTGTTCCACCACAAAAACTGGATTCCATGAGGTCGGTCAGAGCTTGAGCTCGTCCTTTCTCAGCAACAAATAAGGCTTCATCTACATTACCTTGTTCTACGAGAACTCTCCACAAACCCGTATACGCCACTTGACGCTGATTACGAAAATTAACTTTCCACTCATCTTTAGATATTAGAAGTACTCTCAAGGAATTGAATAAGTTTATGCTAGCTTGGTAATGTTCAACGGCTTTTGGCAGTCCACCTTGTAACTCAAAAGCCAATCCTAATGAACCGTAGGCCATTGCCTCCGAGGATTTGTCTCCTACTTCTTTAGCTATTATAAGATGCAGGTTGTGGTACTCTATGGCTTTTTTGAAATCACCCAGACTGTGATAAGCATTGCCAAGATTGCCATAAGCACCACCCTCCCCATGCTTGTCTCCTACTTCTTTAGCTATTTTAAGATGTAGGTTGTGGTACTCTATGGCTTTTTTTAAATCACCCAGACTGCCATAAGCAATGCCAAGATTGCCATAAGCAACACCCTCCCCATGCTTGTCTCCTACTTCTCTAGCGATTTTAAGAATTAGGTCGTGGTACTCTATGGCTTCTTTGAAATCACCCAGACAGTGATAAGCATTGCCAAGACTGCCATAAGCGTTACCCTCCCCATGCTTGTCTCCTACTTCTTTAGCTATTTTAAGATGTAGGTTGTGGTACTCTATGGCTTTTTTTAAATCACCCAGACGGCGATAAGCATTGCCAAGATTGCCATAAGCACCACCCTCCCCATGCTTGTCTCCTACTTCTTTAGCTATTTTAAGATGTAGGTTGTGGTACTCTATGGCTTTTTCTAAATCACCCAGACTGTGATAAGCAATGCCAAGATTGCCATAAGCAGCACCCCCCCCATGCTTGTCTCCTACTTCTTTAGCTATTTTAAGATGTAGGTTGTGGTACTCTATGGCTTTTTTGAAATCACCCAGACTAAGATAAGCATTGCCAAGATTGCCATCAGCGTTACCCTCCCCATGCTTGTCTCCTACTTCTTTAGCTATTTTAAGATGTAGGTTGTTGTACTCTATGGCTTTTTTTAAATCACCCAGACGGCGATAAGCATTGCCAAGATTGCCATAAGCAGCACCCTCCCCATGCTTGTCTCCTATTTCTCTAGCGATTTTAAGAATTAGGTTGTGGTACTCTATGGCTTTTTTGAAATCACCCAGATGGTCATAATCATTGCCAAGACTGCCATAAGCGTTACCCTCCCCATGCTTGTCTCCTACTTCTTTAGCTATTTTAAGATGTAGGTTGTGGTACTCTATGGCTTTTTTGAAATCACCCAGACAGCGATAAGCATTGCCAAGATTGCCATAAGCAGCACCCTCTCCAAGCTTGTCTCCTACTTCTTTAGCTATTTTAAGATGTAGGTTGTGGTACTCTATGGCTTTTTTGAAATCACTCAGACTGTAATAACCATTGCCAAGATTGCCATAAGCGTTACCCTCCCCATGCTTGTCTCCTACTTCTTTAGCTATTTTAAGATGTAGGTTGTGGTACTCTATGGCTTTTTTGAAATCACCCAGACGGCGATAAGCATTGCCAAGATTGCCATAAGCGTTACCCTCCCCATGCTTGTCTCCTACTTCTTTAGCTATTTTAAGATGTAGGTTGTGGTACTCTATGGCTTTTTTTAAATCACCCAGACTAAGATAAGCATTGCCAAGATTGCCATAAGCGTTACCCTCCCCATGCTTGTCTCCTACTTCTCTAACGATTTTAAGAATTAGGTTGTGGTACTCTATGGCTTTTTTGAAATCACCCAGACAGTGATAAGCATTGCCAAGACTGTCATAAGCGTTACCCTCCCCATGCTTGTCTCCTATTTTTTTAGCTATTTTAAGATGTAGATTGTGGTACTCTATGGCTTTTTTGAAATCACCCAGATGGCGATAAGCATTGCCAAGATTGCCATAAGCGTTACCCTCCCCATGCTTGTCTCCTACTTCTTTAGCTATTTTAAGATGTAGGTTGTGGTACTCTATGGCTTCTTTTTCCTGATTATAGAGATCTATGACTTTCTTGACATCAACTGAACTTGCACTACCGTGGTCATGACTAATAGGATCTTTTTCCTCCATGGACTTATCTCCCACTTCACTGACAGACTGAAGTCTTAATGACGACAAGATCCTATTGTTTTTGTCAATCTTTTTTATGTTAAGGGTTAAAAATGTGGAAAAAACAAAAATACATAAAATAAATACATATCTTTAAAATTTTTATTTGTCCATAGGAAAGCACAACGAAAGTTTCTGAGTCTCTAAGTAGAGGCAAAAGGTCGAAGGCAGAAAGTCTGCATAAGATATGTAAACATTAAAGGGCTTTTTGTTCGGGCTTGTTTTAGAGAGATCATCTACCCAAGTACTATGTATAAACTGGATGAATATTAGTCTTCTAACCCTTTAACTCCCGTGAGTGACCAAAAGAGAATTTCTCCTTACAATAGCAATACAATATCAATCAGATAAGTGTTGAGAGTAAAAAAAAAATATATCAATTTAAAAATAGTTAGTTGATGCAATAATGAATTCTCTGTACTAACATTACAAGAATTGTATGGTTGACAGTAAGGATAATTACAAATTTGGTCTGGGAAATTAAAGGGTTATTTAAACTAATGTACCAGTTATTGGCATGGATAGTAGAACTAAGTCAAATTGGCTAAAAGGAGTAATTTCATTAATAAGTCATGAGGTAATAACTTCTCCTATGTTTTTAATCACACATACTTAAAGTATATGAGCTGACAAGTTCCCATCATAATTAATACCCTTCTTTGTATTTTCTCCCTTGAAACATCAAATTATGGAAACTTTTTTCCATTATACCCACGGTTAAAAATGAAAGATTCCTTCAAAGGATACAGCTAGTCCCTTATCACACCAAGTGATTGCTTCTTCAAATCTCTTCAATTCAACACAAGCAGTGGCTCCTGTAGGCAACAACACAAAGAAATATACTATTACTGTAGCTCAATTCTGAGAAAAGAACCTGAAACCATTGAAATCATTACAGACCAGAAGAAAAAAAAAAGACAAACCAAAACAATACAAAAAAACTAAACGGAAAAGAATAAACAGGCCCTATTAGGTTTGTTAGATTTATTTAGCCTTACAGACAACTGAAACTTCTAAGAACACTTAAATTGGGATCAACAACTGCCACAAAAACACTAAAAGTTAGGTAAGTCCTGATCCTTCTTTTTAAAACAGCTAGATACTGACTTCAGAGCGTGTCCACGAGAGCACAGGGCAGTCGTGCTACATGTCATCTCACCGATTTCAATGAAACTTTGTCAGTTTAAAGGGTCTAACCCAAAACTCCAAAAAACAGACTGATTTCTGTTTTGTTTCTTTCCGGGGGGAGATAGACCACCCCCCGCTTTTTCTTGGTTTTCACCAAGGGAATCGCTTCAAATAGGTAAAATGTATGAAGCTCTCACTGCGATGGTATTAAACCGATTACTTTAAAGATTTGCACACATATTTTAACATCCTTAATTAATGGCTGCCGCGAGTATCAGTCAGTTTGATCGACGGCTTGTCAATCAACAGAGACAAATATACGATGGTATTTTTAGACTTTTCGATTCATCTAAATATTTGACAACTTTGAGGTCAAATATCTCCCGTTGCCAGAAAGCTACAACACTAATCTTAATTACCCTTAATAACCCACTATTACATCTCTGAAAATCATCAAAAAAATCTTTGGGCATTACCGTATTTTTGTCTTGGATACCTTTTAAAATCTGCGGCTGTGACAAGTTTCTCTCAACTACACCTGTCACGCAATTCTTGCTCTAGGCGGTCACTTGACAAAATAAACCTACATTTTTTAGCTCTTTATACAAGATGATTGGTCAAGAAAGGTGAAAAATGTGAAAAACTTTCGAGATAATTTGAAGGAATGGAAAATTTCACGTTTAGAGAGATGCATGTTGACGGAAAATCAATGGGAAAATTGTAGCGTTTCTTTCTTCAGTCGTTTATTACTTTGAAGATTTGCTAAAACAGGACATAGGGCTCTTGTACAGAACAAAACATTCATTAGCCTATACTTTGATCGTCTATTATCATTATAATCAGGAGAGGAGATTTTAAGGTCACATGTCGCCTGCTTGTTGACGTACAAGTTCCAAGAGTAACAACTTCGGCTTTTCCATACCGCGAATGACGGGAAACTCTGCCCCCCTTATTAGTTAGAAATTATAATAAAGTTCGCATATAACGCACGCTGTCATTGGTTGAAAGAGCGTGCTCTATGAGAGTATAGAGCATAGAGCTGAGCTAGAGCAATTCACATCAGCCACTGCAACCGAGTTTTGCGGCGCTTTCATCACGAGCGATCTTTATGTTCCGGTGAATTCGGCTGTCGTTCATTCAAAAAACACTCGCCTTGAATAGTTTGTTTTCTGCCTTGTCATGTGGAAAAAAACTTGCGTGTTTTTATGAGCCATAATTCGGCTGAAGTTCACTGAACATTTCACTTCAAGATTCTGTATTAGAGACTCAAAAACTTCACGCAAAATTGGCAAGTTCGACTTGCCGAACTATTTTAGTTTGTAAACTATCGTAGAATGTGAACTTTGATGGTTTTTGGACTTTGATGGTTTGACACTTTTGACAGCTTTAGTCTTGTACAGCCAATCAGATTATTTGAATCATTCTAACAAGGATTCTGATTGGCTTATTGCAGTGTGCTTTATGAGAGTATAGAGTATGCTGACGACATTGTTGTTCGCTTTGGAAATAAAGTTTGTTTTAGAAATTGAAAGTAATGCTTGGGTAATTTAACGGATTCTTTATTATAAAACAAATAGAGAAGCCTTGACTGTGCTCTGTTCTGTTATAAAGCACTTATGAAGCGGCTAGAGCACTCAAGAAGTGGGAAGAAACACTCGACTACGTCTCGTGTTTCTCCCTACACTTCTTTCGTGCTCTAGCCGCTTCCTGCGTGCTTTATAACAGAACAGAGCACAGTCAAGGCTTCTCTATTTGTTAAATATCAATAGCCTCATAAATCCATTAACTACGCCGTGTTTCCAGAAAATAAGAGTGGAAAATGTTTTTTCCACTTTCCACCATCAAGAAATTCCACGTATAGGAATAGTATTTGTAGGGTCACTGTGTGACCTTTTATGAGAAGTAAAAATTGTTCATCTTTTTTTTTCAAGAAGACACTTCTAAAAAGTTCCTAATCCTTCTGTTATCTTATTTTGTTGTTTTTTGAATGCAAATATCATCTGCATTTCCTATTATTTTCGCTGATTGTTATGGCCTTTCCTGCGTGCACGTGCGAGCTAGTTCATATACAGGACTCTTTCGAGTTTCTCTGGCCGGTTTCGGGCTTATGTGTCTAGGTCTGGTTCAAAAGATATCTGCACGCTGCAACACGGGTTCCTATGTTTTCTCCCTTTTCTTTATTTGTATTTTCATTCTCTTACTTGCATTATCACACATTTATGTTTTTTTATTCCCTCAGCACGTTCCCTCAGATTTGGAAGTAGGCCATGAAAAGTCAATATTGACCAGAACTGAAATCTTTTTTTAATCATTATTTGTTTCGGAGAACCCCCGTCATTTGTGACTTTATTTCTCAAGAAAATGTTTTTTTATTTGCTATTTATTTCCATTAGAACATGAAACTAGGTCCTGATAAGTTTTTTTGTCTCGTGACTCCCAAAAACTGTGTTTGCGATAACATCAATTGAGAAATCAAAGGCAATTACGCCTGAGAAATTCGCTTGTAGTCTTCTACCCGCAGAAGGCAACTCCATATAATGACTCGTTCTAAGACCTCTGTAAACTAGAGACATTGGGTGATGTTGAGGAGTGAAATATTTACACTAAATCTGTGACCCTTAAACGGATCACGTACTCGTACATGTAACGTCCGGAAAATGTCACGCATGTATAACACCGTAGGCGCACCTGGCGTATTCTATCCACTGACTTCAATAGTAAAGAGATAACTTATTTACTATTTGTATATGAGCAAGCTTATTTACCCTGCCTGAAAAAATCCTTGATGAAGTCTACTATTGTCAGACGAAATGCGTGGGAGATAAATACAAGTTTTTACTTTCTCAGTTCGTGCAGTGATGCTCACTAGTTTGTTCCGTCAAAAATGCTTTTAATGTGAAGTCACGTCAACCTCGACAGAAAAACTAAGCTCACCCTGTCATAATCAATGGTTTGACACCGTAAGTACCAATTTAGGTACATCATTGGACTTTGATCACAATTATGAAAAAAATGTGCGTTTCCTCACGCTCGCCACGTTTATTCTTTTTACTGGAGGGCGATCTCGCTTAGCTTGGCGCGTCTTGACTCTGGCCGACGAAAATTATCGAGGTGAACTCCATGAAATTTTAGTCAAATGTTTTAAAAACTTTGTCTACCCTTGATTTGCACGCAGAAAAAAAAAGGCAAATCCCGAACGGTATTTCAAAACACTTTATTCATGAGTCTCTTATGAACTGTTTCATAGCAGCCCGAGGAAAAAGAAAAATTGAAACAACCGGCGTATCGGTCAAATGAATTCCAATTTTTTCAAGGATTTGGTAAGTTCATTTTTCCTAGTAAATTTAAGTGGGGGTCACTTTTTTGTGACAGCCGATCAAAGATAGACATCTCTGAAACGTCTCTGAAACTCTTTTTAAAAAGAGCGTACACTTCCGGTAATATTTTCCTCCTTCTCGCAACAGCGCAACAGACATTGCTAATCCTATGTAGTGTAGGTGTATCAGTTGTATTACGTCTTCATAGTGATGCCATAAAAGAAATCGAGTGTCTAAAAAGCCCTCAATTCAATCTAACACTCGAATTGATAAAGCCAAGATGGTGCAGTTGTCTTCTTCATTTGCAACAAAATGTACAACCAAATGTTACTTTTCTCGCGCTGGCCAGGGACGGCAACAGCTTAAAAAAAAAAACATTTGAGAGACGTCGATGTATCCCAAACATGCGTTTCATCCGAGATGAAGCTTATTCTAGCGCGTATTGGCTTATTTGGAGATTACGAAGGCCGCAATTTCACGATGTACCTCAAATATCGTGCACAACTTGGTGTGAGATTCAGACCTTCGGGTTCGTAAATGCCAGTATCCTCCTCATAAAAATCGGAGACATAAAGTGAGAGAGAGATGAATCTGCAGATGGCAGAAGAAATCAAAGCTGGTGGCGAGTCTTTCTGGTGGCGGCAAGGTGACTGTAAACCTAAATAGAACGCGTACTGTAGCTGCTATCTTAGAGTCGACAATGAATAAGGAGAAGGGCAAGAAGAGCGCTTATCTGAATATCAGTTTTCCTAACTGGTGATTTGTGACTGAGATGAACTTTATATCATATGATTGCTAGGGATACGCAGGTATTGTAGAAGCGCTCACATAGATAGAGGTGGGCGATCCTCCCTCTGACTTAAGAACTGCGACAAGTTTATAGCGCAGACCAACTGGCACAGTTTGAAGCACCTCAGGATCTCACTAGGCTCATCACATTAGAAACTTTCAGCAAACTAGTCGTAGAAGCGGGTGCTTATCAGCAACGTGCACAGATTTCTGAACGCGGGTCATCGCGAGAACTATACCCAATCCGTCATAGACGGAACAAGAAAGCCAGATATTCTTGCTAAAAGAAGGATGTATCCTGACAAAGACAAACACAGTGAAGCCGACAAAAAAATTCCGCCTAGGATAAGATCAAGAGGAAATGGACTAAGACCGGCTTGCCATTCTATAGGGGACGGCTACGTTCGAGGTCGGACCTCAGGTAAAAATTCTGACGAACAATCCCTAACTAGCCAAGAGGACTTGGGATGGGCTCTTTGGAAAACACAAAAAACAGCTACCTTTTCTCAGAAAGCAGAGAACTTTCTCCTAGACGTGTGCTGGACAAGGGAGGAAACTAGTAAGGCAACCGCCTCTAATGTGATTTCCCAAATATCGAGATTGAGAGACGACACCAGCCAGAAATGTTGTCTAAGACTGACCGGTTGATACAGCAGCAAATCGCTCGATACTTCAGCCGGTTATCTGCCGTAACAAAAATTGGTTTATTGATGAGGTCCCCCTCTGTAAATATGAATAAGGACGGAGAGGCCGATGCCAATGATCTAGCTTCAGAATTCGAAACTGACCGAACAAGGCAGAAGATAACGAGAGACCTTAATTTAGACGAAGACTGCGGGAGGGGGTAAATATGTTATTAAGCTAAAAAAAAGAAGACATTTGCATCTCACTTTTCTCTCATATTTATTGTCTTTGCTCACGAAAACAACTGGCTATGTCTTGGGATTTCATCAAGGGAAATTTGCAGGATGGCTACTCGTCAAATTACCGCTGGCTCAGATTCTTATTTAAAAGTTTTATAAGTCACGCAATTAAACGCCGGCAACACTCGATCTAGTGAGATGAAGATTTATGAGTAATAATAGAGTGCTTGAAAAAAATATGCAGATATTTTACGATCGAAGCAGGCAAATAATCATAGAGATCTGCAGATTATTCTGAAATTGTTATCTAGCAGACAGCATGAACAACGCGCTTGACTTAATTCCTACTAAGAGTCTTCGGGTCACACAACAGATGTTAGCTTAGCGGAGTTCTGCATGGAAATGTTCGATGGCGGTAAGTGACAACGACAACACTATTTTAATCTTATTTTCGGGATAGAGGCACAGTTTTTAGTCCGATAGAACTATTGATGTTTGCTCTCGAGCGAGAGCGCAGAATTTCTCGTCTGTAAAAGCCGAAGTTGTAGCACACTGGAACAATTAGTAATATCAACCAATACGCAGCATGAAATAGAATGAGCAATGATGATGATTAACAATCATATTATAGACTAATGAATGTTTTGTGCCGTACAAAAGCCATATCTGCTGACTTTAGCAAATCTTCAAAGTAATAAACGACTGAAGAAAGAAACGCTACGTTTTTCCCATTGATTTTTCGTGTACATGCATCTCTCTAAACGTGAAATTTTCCATTCCTACAAAAAATCTCGAAAGTTTTTCACATTTTTCACCTTTCTTGATCAATCATCTTGTATAAAGAGCTAAAAAATGTAGGTTTATTTTGTCAAGTGACCGCCTAGAGGAAGAATTGCGTGACAGGTGTGGTTGAGAGAAACTTGTCACAGTCGCAGATTTTAAAAGGCATCCAAGACAAAAATACGGTAGTGCCCAAAGATTTTGTTGATGATATTCAGAGATGAAATGATGGGTTATAAAGGGGAATTAAGAGTAGTGTTGTAGCTTTCTGGCAACGGGAGATATTTGACCTCAAAGTTGTCAAATAGTTGGATGAATCGAAAAGTCTAAAACCAAAGTCGTATATTTGCCTCTGTTGATTGACAAGCCGTCGATCAAACTGACTGATACTCGCAGCAGACATTAACTAAGGATGTAAAAATATGTGTGCAAATCCTCAAAGTAATCAGTTAGATAACATCGCCGTGAGAACTTAATACATTTTACCTATTTGAAGCGATTTCCTTGGTGAAAACCAAGAAAAACCGGGGGTGGTCTATCTCCCCCCGGAAGAACCAAAACAGAAACCAGTTTGTCTCTTTGAGTTTTGAGGTAGACCCTTTAAACTGACAAAGTTTCATTGAATTCGGTGAGATGGCATGTAGCACGACTGCCCGGTGCTCTCGTGGACACGCTCTTAATATATCTGACACCTGTGACTCATTGGACTTAAGGAACTAAAATATTCATGCTGAAATTTTGCTTTGCATTCCGCATTGAGTTTTTAATCCCGTTAAAAATAATATTTTTATCATGATTAATGGAAGCAATGGCGTAGTAGTCAAGAGCTGGATTCAAATGTACATCAGGGTGGTCTCGACCTCTTAATTAAAGTCAATTGAGACAAGATTGAACTCCATTTAACCTCATTTAACCTTAGAGTGTTGAGTTCTTTTGTTATTATTATTATAGCACAGCTAACATATCTAACCTCTCACAATTGCCTTAAGGAAAGTTGGATTTAACTCAATGGCTGCTTCTGCATCCCTTAGTGAATCCTGGTGATTTCCTGTTATTGAAATAAATATCTCTGATTAGCCATACATGTTGCAAACCAACTACCATTACTATAATTTTGAGAAAAACTTGTGATGCTCATTGATATCTGGGGTAAGAGGTTACTTCTTTGTATATTTGAGAGGCCAAGATAAGATCTAAATTTTTCCAGGCATGCATTCAAAATTATCACCTTTTTCAGAAAACTACTACTGACAACTCAATAGCTTAAAAATAGGAAAAAATGCATATTAAAGCTCTCATCATCTTACCAAGTTTAAAATGTGCAATAGCCCTGTTGTTGTGCAGTTTGGCCTTCAGTTCTTTCTCATTGCAGTTCATTTTAATTCCTTTGGTGTAAAAATGAATAGCATTGATGAAATCTCCTTTCTTGAAGGCCTCATTACCCTCATTTCTATAAACATCAGCTGTGGCTGCAAAGAAAAAATTTAAAAAAATAATTTGTGTCAAAGTCTGTGGTTGTAGTTAATAATTACCTGTGATTGTAGTTAATTAGTGCATAAGCAGAGCTGCCAAGATCTGGAGATTCAAAATCTGCAGATTTTTCCTTTAGTGCCAGCTGCCACTTTTGCACCTGCCTGACTTAACCCATCCCCTGAAAAGCTTGGAGTAATACTGCTGAATCATTCACTAAGCTCATGAGAATAAAGGAAATGATCACCAACCTAAGAAGCATTGATCTTCAAATGAATTCTCTTTTTCAGTACCACAAGAAACATACAGTATCCATATGGAGAATATGGATACTGATGTTAGGGTGTCAAGGGTTAAACACCTCCATATTCAATGATATAACACTTGCACTCTACTGGAAATTGGTTGCTTAGGGGAAGTTGAAACTTTCAAGTTAATGTTGCATAATATAATGGAAAGATGATGATGATGATGATGGTACTTATGATGCAAACTTACAAAATGAATGTTATATGATGATCAAATAAAGTCTTTACTTATTATAACTTTGTGTACTTGCTTTGAAATTTGAGAAAAGAAAATAACAAATATGTCATGGATCCTCTCAGTCAATGAACAGCATATTGTAATCATAGAAGAGAGTCATGACTGGCCAAATATCCTTTAAGGTGGTCATGCAGTGTATTAATATTGTTCTCCACATCTGCTTACATTCTTGAAACTGGTGGAATAGAAAACGTTTGAACAGTGACTGAAGCCAAAGTTGAACCTAGCTCACCTCGTAAAGTGTCCTCATCAAAATCTGGAGCATTTTCTTTGTCAGGTAAGTCTTCATTTTCACATGGAACCTTAATTGGACTTCTTTCTGTAGCCATAGCAACTGTAAGGGGATGCTTCTTTCAAAAAGTTGCTGTTTTAAGTCATCCTGGCCGGAAAAAAAAAGATGGTTGCAAATGGTAAAAAAATAGCTCAACATATTACCCAATTGTAAACTAAATATTTTTTCCCTCCTGAGAATGGGAGGGATACATAGACACAAAATCACAAGCGATTAATATTAATAGCATATTTAAAGCAGTAAAAGAACAAAAGATATATATATTGAAGAAAACAAGCATTAATATTTAAATAAACAGTAATTCACTTCTCATTACAATAAATTTCAAGATTTACCAAAGACATTGCTATGCAATTGACTGAAATAAATTGGGCAAAAATCAACATCTGTGTGTTTCAAGTTTATATAATTTGTAACAGTAGCAATTGAAATCATTTAAACTAAGAGGTGGTAGGTAGTTAGGTCACATCTGGATTTGAAAAGTGGCCAGTCCAGGGCCTGAGCTTTACTTAATCCTGGTTTCCTTACATGAAGCAACTGGGAGTATTACTAACCAACCCTGGACAGGATGCAAGTCCATTCCACCGTTATCCCTCCCCCCCCCCCTTTCACCCCCCTTGCATTTTATTAGGTTTCCCTAACTAATTTTTGCTACCCATTTATACTCCTGGGTGGAGACAGACACTGTAAGAGTAAAGTGTTTTGCACAAGAACACAACACATTGACTGGAACCCAGACTTCTTGACCCTGAGTCCAGCACAGGCCAGCCTACAAATGCAGACCTCTTGAAGGTGCGTCCACCTCACTAATCATAAGACCACTATGTCTCCGCAAGAGGAGAGAGTTTATGCTGAATTGTTTCTCGTAAGAAACAAATTTTACAACACCAAAGTAAAATTTTCTTATTTGATTTTTAAATAGGGATTGCTGGTCAAAACTTATAAAAGATGTATTTCATTTATTCAATTTCCTACAGTTGAACTGATGCCCATATTTGTATAGGTGATTGTTAGTTCAACTGTTTCACTTTATCACAGGAAAAACAGTGAAATATTTACATTTATGCAGGCTGATGTATGTTGAAATGGATTTAAATTTGGTACTGGTGCTGACATTTTTGCTTTATTAGTATATGTATATTTAACTAATTGTTTTTGCAGTTATTCCATATTTACATTGTCTGTGCACAAAATTAATTTGTCTTTGATGCTAACTTTAATTCTCCTAATAATCATGACTGGTTGTTTTTTAAAAATCAAATAATCTTTGCTGGCTGTCTTCATGTACAAATAAATTTAATAAATGTGGAGTAACAAGGAAGTCAATTGAACTGGAATTCAAAATAGCCTGTAAGTGTATATCGCTTTTACAAAAACCACTACAAACTTCTATATAACCAGCTGATTTCCAGGGCTTTACAGAGGTATATTGGCCCAAGGTTGTAACAGAAAAGGAATGACATGGTGCCAATATTCCCCAGTACCCCTCAAGAGAGCAAGGTAATTGTCATGCACCAATGTCACTTGGACTAAACTAGTTTACAATGAATTTACATGTTTTATGATTTTCTGTATGGTGCAATGATGGTCTATGTGGCAAAATCCTGACCAAGTAAGAACCAATCAGAACTTTACATTTATCCCAAGACTACCTTCCCATATAACAACATAAATTATCAACAAACACATACTTGGATGCATGCAGCCTCATGCAGAACTAAACCAGTTTTGATAAAAAAAAAAAAATTGATCGGAAACATTCAGTTGATATGATTATCGATTGATCGTATGTTGATTAGCAGATGACAAAAGGTAAAACTTCACTCACACATTAATCAATCATTACCAGTTGATGAATTGGATTCCTAAAACTCGAATGCAGTTAATTGAAAGGACTCTTGCAGTAAATAACTAGCTGAATTTGAAGAAAAATCAACTTGTCTCAATATTTAACAAGGAAATCAGTATAACAGTACAGTTTGGAAGGACAATCTAAGCTGTCTATCGAAAAGAAAAAATCACTTTTAAACTACAGTATAAAATGATAAACATAAACACATGAAATACGCTGAAAATGTTTATCGCTTTTTGATCAAATGCATCGTAAATACGGGAGCAAATTAAGTTAATACGTACATAAGCCCGACATGAAAGCTGGTGCCAAACACGATTGTGTACATGCTCCGCATGACACGCAAACGAAACTGAAAGTGTTGCGACCAAAAGGGCTTTTACTGAATCAAATCGATAATTTGGATATCCTTTGTAACTCTCCCGAATTACTTATTTTGTCCAAGGTAAATGCCAAGCATTGCCTGCGAATTTTTGTGAATTCGACAGCTGTAACTTGTTCAAACCAGCTCAGCTTAATAAGCTTGTAACTAACACGAAGCGGCAATACAATTAATACACGCCAGAATAAAGTAAAAGTTGGCAATCGTCGTCATACACTAACTGCAGGAACGTCTTTCATTGTCGGAAATCAGAGAAAGTTCGGAAAGATGAGGAACATTTGAAGGAGGAAATCTCAACTAAAAAAAATTTAAAATAAAAGTATTTACCTTACACTCAATAATCTGATACAACCATGCGTTCTTACCTCTGTCGCGGAGATGGAAGGCACCTTTGACTATTATACGACCTTGCTTCCTCAGTCCGTCATGAAAATGTTTCAAAGTCACTAAGACAGAGAAAGTACTAAGAAAGACTCGAAAGCTATGTCATGGAACGGAGAATTGCAACGGCGCGTTGTGAAAATGAAACAGGGAGTTCCTTGGCCCATAAATCTGTGCAAGCTTGAAGCCGGAAATTCTCCGACTGAATTTGAAAGAAGAGCCCACATATGGGCGGCTGTCATCATAAAAAAATACAAAAATAGAATTGGTTTGTAATAACAGATAGAGTCTAATTGTCTTTTGGAGAACGATTTATCTTATCCTAAGAGATTTATTTAAAATACAAATGGACAAGTCGCATTTGGTGAAATGAAATATTCAAACAAAAAATGGTTTATACAATTGAGGAGCTGTGTAGCCATCCTTGTTGAACTGATTCAATAAAAACATGAGTGGCCAAGTGTTAACTGAAATGGTTCAGTGTCGAAATGACAAACGGATCAGCTAACTGTCCTTTGGTTCAGTAACTTGACAAAAACGGTTCAGAGAGGTGTGAAATGGCCTAGGTTATCGGCAAATGGTTAATCGTAGCCGCAATGGTTTAGTATCGCATCAATCTACTCACCGTAAAGTGAAATGGTTTAGCGTGACCCCAAATGGTTTAGCGTGACGACAAATGGTTTCTTACAAACCGAAATGGTTTCGTGTTACAGCGGTTGGTTCAGTTGGTTTACGCCGTAACCGCCAAAAATACAAAAGTGAAATGGAAAAGTCAAGCTTGAAATTGAATAGGATAAGAATCTCAAGGGCGCCTCAAAACTATAAAAACTATATAGCTTTTAGGCGCCCTTTAGTTGTAGTTTCGTCGTCTTAAAACGATGAATCGCTTTATCACGTTTCCCAGCCATGGTTCTTACTGTCTAGACGGTAAATGTGCTGTCGCGTAAAATGATGCATTTTATCTGTATTTGTGTTATTCCTTTTGTTCCGAAATATCATTTACTTACTGATATTGCGGCAAGATGATGAGGGTATAAATTTATTCGCTAACAAGCTAAAATAGGCAAATGTGAAAAAGGTTATTACCGGAGTGAGGCTCTTTGAGTCCAGTGGACAAGGACGACGAGGTTACAGAAATAACGTGAACGTGAACTTGGAACGTGAACGTGGTGAACGTCGAGTGGACGGCGTGGCGAATCCCTCGTACTGGCGAATTTCGCGCCAAATTGGATCTGAATGACGTAGGTTGTGACGTCAGACCCCATATAGACTGTTTCATTTCAAGCTTGACTTACCTATTTCCCTTTTGTATTTTTGGCGATTACGGCGTAAACCAACTGTTGTACGAAACCATTTGTCCTCACGCTTAAGCATTTGAGGTCACGCTAAACCATTTCACTTTACGGTGAGGAGATTGATGCGATACTAATCCGTTGCGGCCTACGATTAACCATTTGTCGATAACTTTCACACTACTCTGAACCGTTTGTGGCAAGTCACTAAAGTACAGTTAGCTGAACCGTTTCTCATTTCGACACTGAACCATTTCTGTTAACACTTGGCCACTCGTGTTTTTCTTTAATCAGTGCAACAAGGTTGGCTACACAGCTCCTGAATTGTATAAACATTTTTGTTTGAATATTTCATTTCACCAAAGGCGACTTGTCCATTTGTATTTGAAATAAATCTCTTAGGATAAGATAAATCGTTCTCCAAAAGACAATTAGACTAATTACCAACCAATTATATTTTTGTCTTTTTGGCGGTGACGGCCGCCCATAGGTGTAAATTAGAAATCCTACAGCTAAACTTTTGAGAATATAACTTACTATCGAGGAAAAAAATTATGACCCAAGATGAAGAAGACTCGATAGAAATGAATAGGTTGATGACAAGGCGAGGGTGAGAAGAAGAACCAAAGTCACGAATGAAGGAACAAACATGAGCTGATATAGAATTGCCTTGTGACCGGGGAACTGTAGCACATTCCGAAAAGCAACAACTGAGCCAGCGGTGAAAATACACAGCGAAGCCAGCCACACTATTGTTAGCTGTTCTGAAAAAGGCAAAGCGGCATTTTATTGCACTGATATGCGGTGGATTGGACCCTGATGCAAGCAACATCACGAATCATGTTCGGAAGTGCCCTAACTAGTTGCCATAACGACAACAAACTGAAGACCACTGGATAACAGGAATTTCGTTGTCTTGGCCAGATTAGTATTATTTTGGTTGATTTCCGTATCTGTGGCTGATCTATTTCGGGGCAAGCTGTCATGATGGTGACGCCAAAACCACCTGTAGAAGAAAAAATATAAGATAAATTGAGAGGTTGCTTGAGTCAATTTTTGTGGGGCATCTGCTGTTGGCCTTTCAGAACCCCTACCCCATCATAGTCTATTCTGTGGCTAATTATCGACCCCATCTTAGTCACTTTTGGTAATACGCGCTGGTAACGACCTTCTAACTGCGAACTTTCCGTCATTTAATCCCTACTTTCTTAGACTTGTCTTACCCCCAAAATTTCGAAAATGTGCGACCCCATTATTGTAATTAACTCTGTTGAAAATGCTATAGTCAGTAGTCAGTTCGGTCGTGATCGTGACCTGTAACTAGGAAGCACACCCCACGGGGTGGTCATACATGCAGCTGTGCCTCTGCTACAATCTACATACAGCCGGAATACACAGTGCATGTTCTTGTAGTAAAGTGACTGAAGATTAAAGCGAACCTCGTAAGTAGTCTTCATTGACATCCTGAGTAATTTCTTTGTCAACTATTAGGATTGGAATCGTTTAAAATGAAGAAAAAAAGAAACAGTTTGCTGATCTTAGCTGAACGTCACGTTAAATGTGAAAGTAGGTTACTGGCACATGTCGAATCCAGTGGCATGAATTCCTTGGTATATAGGAAGGTCTTAAGCGCGGTTATTCGTCCGCGATTATTCCACCTTTGTGATAGCATAGTTCTACTGAGGATGATAGTGATGTTCGTGAATGATTTTGTTTCAGAAATATTTCCCGCCTTTAAGAGTTTGAAATTTAAAGCCGTAATCAACTCGCCATCTCTGTGTCTTCACGTCAAACGAGTCACGACTGCGCTGTAAAATGCTGCGTTTTCTTTGAACGACGCAAAGGTTCTCATCGTTTACCTCTTAGGAAGCATTACAATAACCTAACCTTTCTTGATTACTGTCTTGTAAAAACACTTTTTCAAGGTCCTCTCTGCGTCTACATCCAAGATGACGGCTACCAACTCAGAGAAGTCTGTAGATTGGCCTGCTGCCATCTTGGACTCGCGATGTAGGTGGACCCTGGGCGTGAGTTTGATACATTCCCGATCCGATGACAGAAGAAGCCTTAATTTGGACATTAAAGGACTTGTTTCCAACCAAAATGCATCGATTATGTCGCAGAGACTTGGAGGGAGCTCTTTCGTTTTATAGCTGCTACCGTGATGAGAGGACCGAGGAGAGCAAACACTGGCAAGTGAGACTTAAAATTGAGACCCCCTGTGGACTGGGAATGAGTGGAAAGGAAAACTAAGATTTTACTAGACATGATGCTAAGAGGACACCATCCTAAAGTGAACAAAATAAGCATAATAACAACTACTCTGGGGAAGTAAGGAGGTATATGAGTTGTAAGAGACCTGACGTTGCGCGAGGATTGAGACGAATGAAAACTGAAACAGACAAGGAGATAGTCGCGTCTAATGAAGCGCGTAGAAGAATAAAGTTGAGGGCGATGAAAGAAGTGCGCGTAAAAATGGGAATAAAGGAAAAGTACGATGAAAAAAAGGAAAGGAACAAAAGGAAGGAGAAAAAAAGAGATGCACAAATGTGAAAAGGTGTAAAAAGGTAAAAAGGGTGCACACAGGTAACAGTATGAACACGTCCGTCGGCATTCAAAATCGTGTGACAATATGGAGAACGGTGGACAGTGAAAGACACACAATCGAAGAGTCGACGAGCGTTTGTTAAGTGGGTGGGGGCTTGAAACATGGAATGTCAGTACACTGTCAGCTGCAAAGATTATCAACTTGGCGCGCGCGGGTCAAAACAAGCATTGAAGTCCCCGTAGGATCTGTTCTCCTTGTATCTCACGCGAATCCTTAGAATATGGAGACAGACAATGAAAACAAAGGCAGTTTTTGTATTTTATACACTCTCTATTTCTCTTACACAAAAAAGTAAAAAAAAAGTACAATACAAACTGCATTAAATTGCTCAAGGCATTAAGTAAAGTAAGCGCTAAACGGAAACACTAAAATGAACCAATTTTTTTCCCAAGATTGATCATAACTTAAATTCTCCTCGCAAAATTAATGCGCCGACAAACATGGTGTCAATAAGAATTAGAGAAAATCTAAACTAGCGGATTATTTTTCACTACAAACGTTATGTTTCATCGAATTCTCAGAATGAAGCAACAAAGAAACATTCTTATCAGTTGGGAGAATTTTTTTTCACAACTTGGGAGTTAATGAGTCAATGAATAAAAACTTAGGTAAATGAACAAATAGCTTCAACTTTAAATACAAATAGCATCAAAACAATCCACACCAAATATACTGACATTATAAAAAGAATGTTTAGTCGAAATTGTCCCAGCTTGTTTTTAAAATCCTACGTTACATCACATTCAACGATGTGCAAGGTTAACTACTACATTTTATACTGGCAGCAAAGACCAATGGTAGTTATAAAAATCTGTCAAAAATTAACATTGATTTGACAAAAATTTCTTTTAAAACAGCTGTGATACAGTATACCTTAAACTTTTGACCACATGACGGGTTCTAATTACAAAGCGTGCTCTGAATACCTAAGTATAAATTCTTAAATTTAAGAAAGATATCATCAGACATCTCCAAATTATACTAAGGTAAATTTAAAGCCATGAAAAAATTTGAACAGCAAATTTTCAAAAAAATGCAAGTTTTATCCTGAAGTCCTGAAACTTTTTAACTACGGCCTAGATTTACATTTATTCATGAACATTTTCACCAAAATAATTCCCATTGAGGACTACATGGCTTACTACTTCAAGTGTTTCCCTAATTTATTGGCGTAAATATTTTCCTAATGAAAACAACAAATTCCATGTCACATACATTAAAAGTCACAGCAATGGAAACTTTAGTTAAAGTAAACTCTGTTTCGCTATTTCCTTGTTTAGATTACATGGACAATTTGTCTCTGTTGTCGTTCTCTAAAACAAACTGACGAGTGTTTGATAAAATGGACTAAAATTGATCAAACTCGTTTGATTGAAAGCAGGCCGTTGTAGCCAGCTCTTTGACTTGTTGTAAGCCTTTTTCCTGAGAAATTTCAATTTTTGTTTCAACATTTGTAAGAGTCATATTAGAAAAGTCAAGCGGGCGGAAAACAATTGTAGGCTGGGCCCACGGGACTAGAGGCTGGCCACACCCCTGAGAGTAGGTCTAATGTCTCTAACATATGGTCAGTAAATTCAACAACATCATCTCTGATGATTACTTCTTCAAATTAAGCTTAGAATGGCAATCTTGGCACTGATGGAATTAGATTGCATTAAAATGGATTGAAAAAAAGTTGAAAATGATAATCAATTTTTTTGTAAAGATAATTGCAAATTGCAACAAAGTAATTTATGACGTAGAAAAACCATTAAGATCAATTCACATATGGCTGCGAATTTTGCAAATCACATTTTTGAAATTAAAATTTCGCCACCTTTTACAAATGACAAACTGTTTCTTTTCTTATCAAAAGCTTAGAGTATCAACGTAATTAAAACCCGGTGGACAAGCTCCTGGTTGTGTACAAGAAAAAAAACCTTTAAATTATTTCACACATAACTGATTGCAATAAAGGGATAGATCTGAGTGTCATTTTGGCGAAACGAAAACCTCGTAGTCGCCTTCAACAACTTCAGGCATTAACAGCAGAAGCCTTGTTGCATCTTGTTCTCTTCGGAAGCATCTAAATTTGTAAAGGTAAAAAAATAGCAATTCCACTGAACAAAATGTACTGAAATAGTCTGTTTTATTTCTTCATCAAAGTAAAGTCACACATCTCAAGTTCCATTTAACAAAAAAATGAAAAGTAATGAAAAATAGCCAAAAAGCGCCAAAATAAAGAAGCATTTAAACCTTCCAAGTTCCTGCGTCATTAATTTTGAGATGAAATAAAAAGGTTTCATTTATGTGATTTCATATTCAAATTTTCTCTTTCCTTTGCTATGAAGTCAAGAGTGACGTCATCTCCAATCAGCAAAAAGGGCGCCCAGTGTTTGATGTCGCAGAACTTGTCTGATTCTCTGAGGCTTTTCATGGCCAGGTTCAGTGACTCGCTTGCTGGTTTACCTCCTGCAAGTTGTTGATAAAAGTGTTTCATGAACTCAAGTTTAGCCTCGTCATCAATCGCCCACAGGGACGCCACAATAGACCGAGCACCAGCCCCCATAAAAGCGCGCGCAATGCCAACCACACCTTCAGCTTTGATCTCGCCCCAGCCGCTGTGGCAGTAACTAAGCACAACAAGTTTGGCCCGAAGTTGAGCATTCAACACATCTCCAATTGTTAAAATGTAATCCTCCTCCGTTGGCACAGTAGATATTCGGTGTGGGTCAGGTGTAAGAGCGGAACAAAAAAAAACGGAACTGAGTCTTTTCAACACCTCACGTTTCGTGGCCTGACTGCCGGTGATTGGCGTGATATTCAGAATTTTTCCGATCATTTCTACTTCTTTTTTAGCATACTCAAGCTGCTCGAAGACTTTCTTTCCCTCGCTGTTAGTAACCTCGGATACCCACGGATCTCCTACAAGTAACGCACCACTGCTTTTGTGATAATCATCTGGGCAATCGGCAATGAGTCTAAGACTTGCTAACGATGGAGCGACTCGGATTGTGAACGATTCACACAGGTATTTAGAATTGCCATCCTTCAATGCAGCGTAAGGAGCGATCCACAGGGGTCCATCAGGAATAATGAGTAGCTCATCCCTTCAATCAAGTCTGCCACCGGCTTCATAACGATATCATACAAAGTGCTCAAGCATCCGTCTCGTTGGATGTGAGGTTGAGGCTTGGCTTCTTTGGTTTTCTCATCCACTTTTGAACGGCCCTCCCTCAAAGTATCTAAAGATCGGTTCTCGCATCTCACATTAGAACGAACACCAAGTTGTGTATAGACACCGAGCATGAACGACTCAAAGGACAGGCTAGATCCACTATTCTCTGAAACAAAACCTTTGAGTTTACTTTGTCTTAACTGAACTTGTTTTCCTTCGGACACAACCCAAAGATTGACGTTAGCTTTGTCCACGGCCTGAAAGACAGTGTTTGATGGAACGTTTTTTAAAACTGCGCAATCTTCATCTTCTCCCTTGTGGTGACTTGTTCCACCACAAAAACTGGATTCCATGAGGTCGGTCAGAGCTTGAGCTCGTCCTTTCTCAGCAACAAATAAGGCTTCATCTACATTACCTTGTTCTACGAGAACTCTCCACAAACCCGTATACGCCACTTGGTGCTGATTTCGAAAATTAACTTTCCACTCATCTTTAGATATTAGAAGTACTCTCAAGGAATTGAATAAGTTTATGCTAGCTTGGTAATGTTCAACGGCTTTTGGCAGTCTACCTTGTAACTAAAAACCAATCCTAATGAACAGTAGGCTATTGCCTCCGAGGATTTGTCTCCTACTTCTTTAGCTATTTTAAGATCTAAGTTGTGGTACTCTATGGCTTTTTTGAAATCACCCAGACGGCGATAAGCATTGCCAAGATTGCCATAAGCGTTACCCTCCCCATGCTTGTCTCCTACTTCTTTAGCGATTTTAAGATGTAGGTTGTGGTACTCTATGGCTTTTTTGAGATCACCCAGACTAAAACAAGCATTGCCAAGACTGCCATAAGCGTTACACTCCCCATTCTTGTCTCCTACTTCTTTAGCTATTTTAAGATGTAGGTTGTGGTACTCTATGGCTTTTTTGAAATCACCCAGACGGTGATAAGCATTGCCAAGACTGCCATAAGCGTTACCCTCCCCATGCTTGTCTCCTACTTTTTTAGCGATTTTAAGATGTAGGTTGTGGTACTCTATGGCTTTTTTGAAATCACCCAGACTAAAATAAGCATTGCCAAGACTGCCATAAGCGTTACCCTCCCCATGCTTGTCTCCTACTTCTTTAGCTTTTTTAAGATGTAGGTTGTGGTACTCTATGGCTTTTTTTAAATCACCCAGACGGCGATAAGTATTGCCAAGATTGCCATAAGCAGCACCCTCCCCATGCTTGTCTCCTACTTCTTTAGCTATTTTAAGATGTAGGTTGTGGTACTCTATGGCTTTTTTGAGATCACCCAGACTAAGGTAAGCATTGCCAAGACTGCCATAAGCGTTACCCTCCCCATGCTTGTCTCCTACTTCTTTAGCGATTTTAAGATGTAGGTGGTGGTACTCTATGGCTTTTTTGAAATCACCCAGACTAAAAGAAGCATTGCCAAGACTGCCATAAGCGTTACCCTCCCCATTCTTGTCTCCTACTTCTTTAGCTATTTTAAGATGTAGGTTGTGGTACTCTATGGCTTTTTTGAAATCACCCAGACTGTGATAAGCATTGCCAAGACTGCCATAAGCGTTACCCTCCCCATGCTTGTCTCCTACTTCTTTAGCTATTTTAAGATGTAGGTTGTGGTACTCTCTGGCTTTTTTGAAATCACCCAGACGGTGATAAGCATTGCCAAGACTGCCATAAGCGTTACCCTCCCCATGCTTGTCTCCTACTTCTTTAGCTATTTTAAGATGTAGGTTGTGGTACTCTATGGCTTTTTTGAAATCACCCAGACGGTGATAAGCATTGCCAAGACTGCCATAAGCGTTACCCTCCCCATGCTTGTCTCCTATTTTTTTAGCTTTTTTAAGATATAGGTTGAGGTACTCTATGGCTTCTTTTCCCTGATTATAGACATCTATGACTTTCTTGACATCACCTGAACTTGCACTACCGTGGTCATGACTAATAGGATCTTTTTCCTCCATGGACTTATTTCCCACTTCACTGACAGCCTGAAGTCTTAATGACGACAAGATCCTATTGTTTTTGTCAATCTTTTTTATGTTAAGGGTGTGTAAAAATGTGGAAAAAACAAAAATACATAAAATAAATACATATCTTTAAAACTTTTATTTGTCCATAGGAAAGCACAACGAAAGTTTCTGAGTCTCTAAGTAGAGGCAAAAGGTCGAAGGCAAGAAAATCTGCATAAGATATGTAAACATTTAAGAGCTTTTTGTTCTGGCTTGTTTTAGAGAGATCATCTACCCAAGTACTATGTATAAACTGGATGAATATTAGTCTTCTAACCCTTTAACTCCCGTGAGTGACCAAAAGAGAATTTCTCCTTACAATAGCAATACAATATCAATCAAGCGTTGAGAGTAAAAAAAAATATATCAATTTAAAAATAGTTAGTTGATGCAATACTGAATTCTCTGTACTAACATTACAAGAATTGTATGGTTGACAGTAAGGATAATTACAAATTTGTGCTGGGAAATTAAAGGGTTATTTAAACTAATGTACCAGTTATTGGCATGGATAGTAGAACTAAGTCAAATTGGCTAAAAAGGATTAATTTCATTAATAAGTTATGAGGTAATAACTTCTCCTATGTTTTTAATCACACACACTTAAAGTATATGAGCTGACAAGTTCCCATCGTATATTATATGTATATGAGCTGGAAACTTTTTTCCATTATACCCACGGTTAAAAATGAAAGATTCTTTCAAAGGATACAGCTAGTCCCTTATCACACCAAGTGATTGCTTCTTCAAATCTCTTCAATTCAATACAAGCAGTGGCTCCTGAAGGCAACAACACAAAGAAGCATACTATTACTGTAGCTCAATTCTGAGAAAAGAACCTGAAACCATTGATATCATTACAGACCAGAAGAAAAAAAAAGACAAAACAAAACAATACAAAAAAACTGAACGGAAACTCGAAAAGCTCACCCTGTCATACCGCAAGTACCAATTTAGGTACATCATCGGGCTTTGATGACAATGATGAAAAAAATGTGCGTTTCCTCACGCTCGCCATGTTTATTCTTTGGAAATTTTTTTTACTGGAGGGCGATGTCGCTTAGCTTGGCGCGTCTTGACTCTGGCCGACGAAAATTATCCAGGTGAACTCCATGAAAATCTAGTCAAATGTTTAAAAACTTTGTCTACTCTTGATTTACACGCAGAAAAAAAAGGCAAATCCCGAACGGTATTTCAAAACACTTTATTCATTAGTCAATTTATGAACTGTTTCATAGCAGCCCGAGGAAAAGAAAAATTGAAACAACCGGCGTATCGGTCAAATGAATTCCAATTTTTTCAACAAGGAGTTGGTAAGTTCATTTTTCCTTGTAAATTAAGGTGGGGGTCATTTTTTTGTGACAGCCGATCAAAGATAGACATCTCTGAAACGTCTCTGAAACTCTTTTTAAAAAGAGCGTACACTTCCGGTCATATTTTCCTCCTTCTCGCAACAGCGCAACAGACATTGTTAATCCTATGCAGTGTAGGTGTATCAGTTGTATTACGTCTTCATAGTGATGCCATATAAGAAATCGAGTGTCTAAAAAGCCCTCAATTCAATCTAACACTCGAATTGATAAAGTCAAGATGGTGCAGTTGTCTTCTTCATTTGCAACTAACTGTAGAACCAAATGTTACTTTTCTCGCGCTGGCCAGGGACGGCAACATCTCATACCTCTAAATTCGTGGGTATACAGCTTAAAAAAAAAACATTTTAGAGACCTCGATGTATCCCAAACATGCGTTTCGTCCGAGGTGGAGCCTATTCTAGCGCGTATTGGCTTATTTGGAGATTACGAAGGCCGTGATTTCACGATGTACCTCAAATATCGTGCAGAACTTGGTGTGAGGTTCAGACCTTCGGGTTCGTAAATGCCAGTTTCCTCCTCATAAAAATCGGAGACATAAAGTGAGAGAGAGATGAATCTGCAGATGGCAGAAGAAATCAAAGCTGGTGGCGAGTCTTTCTAGTGGCGGCAAGGTGAATGTAAACCTAAATAGAACGCGTACTGTAACTGCTATCTTAGAGTCGACAATGAATAAGGAAGAAGGGCAAGAAGAGCGCTTATCTGAACATCAGTTATCCTAACTGGTGATTTGTGACTGAGATGAACTTTATATCATATGATTGTTAGGGATATGCAGGTACTATAGAGGCGCTCACATAGATAGAGGTGGGCGATCCTCCGTCTGACTTAAGAACTGCGACAAGTTTATAGCGCAGACCAACTGGCACAGTTTGAAGCACCTCAGGGTCTCACTAGGCTCATCACATTAGAAACCTTCAACAAACTAATCGTAGAAGCGGGTGGTTATCAGCAACGCGCACAGATTTCTGAACGCAGGTCATCGTGAGAACTATACCCAATCCGTCATAGACGGAACAAGAAAACGAGATATTCGTGCTAAAAGAAGGATGTATCAAGACGTTTCAGTCATTGGCTGCCATCCAAATGTGCCCTGACAAAGACAAACACAGTGAAGCCGACAAAAAAATTCCGCCTGGGAAAGATCAAGAGGAAATGGAATATGACCGGCTTGCCATTCTATAAGGGACTGCTACGTTCGAGGTCGGACCTCAGGTAAAAATTCTGACGAACAATCCCTAACTAGCCAAAAGGACTTTGGATGGGCTCTTTGGAAAACACAAAAACAGTCACCTTTTCTCAGAAAGCAGGGAATTATCTCCTAGACGTGTGCTGGGCAAGGGAGGAAACTAGTAAGGCAACCGCCTCTAATGTGATCTCCCAAATATCGAGAGAGTTTAAGAGACAACACCAGCCATAAATGTTGTCTAAGACTGACAGGTTGATACAGCAGCAAATCGCTCGATACTTCAGCCGGTTATCTGCTGTAACAAAGATTGGTTTATTGATGAGGTCCCCCTCTGTAAATATGAATGAGGACGGAGAGGCCGATGCCAATGATCTAGCTTTAGAATTCGAAACTGACCGAACAAGGCAGAAGATAAAGAGGGACCTTACAAAATTTAGACGAAGACTGCAGGAGAGGGTACAGCTGCTATTAAGTTAAAAAAAAAAATAGACATTCGCATCTCACTTTCCTTTCATATTTATTGTCTTTGCTCACGAAAACAACTGGCTATGTCTTGGGATTTCATCAAGGGAAATTTGCAGGAAGGCTACTCGTCAAATTACTGTTGGCTCATTCTTATTTAAAAATTTTACAAGTCACGCAACTAAACGCCGGCAACACTCGATTTAGAGAGATGTAGATTTATATGTAGTAATAGAATGCTTGAAAAAATATGCAGATATTTTACGATCGAAGCAGGTAAATAATCATAGAGATCTGCAGATTATTCTGAAATTGTTATCTAGCAGACAGCATGAACAACGCGCTTGAATAATTCCTAGGGAGAGTCTTTGGGTCACACAACAGATGTTAGCATAGCGGAGTTCTGTATGTAAATGTTCGATGGCGGTAAGTGACAACGTCAACACTATTTTAATTTTATTTTCGGGATAGAAGCACAGTTTTTAGTCCGATAGAACAATTTATATTTGCTCTCGAGCGAGAGCGCAGAATTTCTCGTCTGTGAAAGCCGAAGTTGTAGCACACTGGAACATGTAGTAATATCAGCCAACACGCAGCATGTGACTTTAAAATCTCCTAAAATGAGCAGTGATGATGATAAACAATCAAATTATAGACTAATGAATGTTTTGTGCCTTACAAAAGCCATATCTGCTGATTTTAGCAAATCTTCAAAGTAATAAACGACCGAAGAAAGAAACGCTACGATTTTCCCATTGATTTTTCGTCTACATGTATCTCGAAAGTTTTTCTCGAAAGTTTTTCACAATTTTTACCTTTCTTGATCAATCATCTTGTATAAAGAGCTAAAAAATGTAGGTTTATTTTGTCAAGTGACCGCCTAGAGCAAGAATTGCGTGACAGGTGTAGTTGAGAGAAACTTGTCACAGTCGCAGATTTTAAAAGGCATCCAAAAAAAAAATACGGTACTGCCCAAAGATTTTTTTGATGATTTTCAGAGATGAAATGATGGGTTATAAAGGGGAATTAAGATTAGTGTTGTAGCTTTCTGGCAACGGGAGATATTTGACCTCAAAGTTGTAAAATATTTAGATGAATCGAAAAGTCTAAAAACACACTCGTATATTTGCCTCTGTTGATTGACAAGCCGTTGATTAAACTGACTGATACTCGCAGCAGACATTAAATAAGGATGTAAAAATATGTGTGCAAATTCTCAAAGTAATCAGTTAAATACCATCGCAGTGAGAGCTTCATAAATTTTACCTATTTGAAGCGATTTCCTTGGTGAAAACCAAGAAAAACCGGGGGTGGTCTATCTCCCCCCGGAAAAAAAACCAAAACAGAAACCAGTTTGTCGTTTTGAGTTTTGGGGTAGACCCTTTAAACTGGCAAAGTTTAATTGAAATCGGTGAGATGGCATGTAGCACGACCGCCCGGAGATCTCGTGGACACGCTCTTAATATATCCGACACCTGTGACTCATTGGACTTAAGGAACTAAAATATTCATGCTGAAATTTTGCTTTGCATTCCGCATTGAGTTCCTCACCCCGTTTAAAATAATATTCTCATCATGATTAATGGAAGTAATGGCGTAGCAGTCAAGAGCTGGATTCAAATGTACATCAGGGTGGTCTCGACCTCTTAATTAAAGTCCATTGAGACAAGATTGAACTCTATTTAACCTCATTTAACCTTAGAGTGTTGAGTTCTTTTTTTATTATTATTAGTAAAGTATAGCTAACATATCTAACCTCTCACAATTGCCTTGAGGAAAGTTGGATGTAACTCAATGGCTGCTTCTGCATCCCTTAGTGAATCCTGGTGATTTCCTGTTATTGA